CCGCTTCCATTCTCTTCATACTTGCCCAGTATTCTGTGTGGCATCCCTTACCGCAAGATATATCCTAACCGCCTGGATATCCACATGCCGACATAGATGCTTTCTCTGGTCGTGAGGTTATCCTCCTGTAACGTGAGAATATAAAAAGAATGGAGACCAAATGTTGAGTATTTTATTTCTGCCTTAAATAGTCGGTTATCTTGTACGGTAGTTAAAATACGAGAAGAAAGTCTTATATTTATCCACATATTTACTATCACCAGTGATCTTCATTTTTTAATGTAATTCCAAGTTTCCATTTGTTATCGTTTTCCTTTTGCCTGAAGATCTTCAGCATTCCCTGGAGTGCTGGTCTGCTGGTGATAAATTCTGTTTTTGTTTGTCTGAATAAGTTTTAATTCAGCCTCTGTTCTTAGAAGATATTTTTGCTGGATGTAGAATTCTAGGTTAATACTTTCCTCTCACCATTTTCAAGATGTCATTCCATTGTCTTCTGGCACACATGGTTTCTGATGAAAGCTGTTGGCATTTTGTTCCTCAGTATGTAATGTGTCTTTTTCCCTCTGGCTTCTGCTGGCAGTGCAATGTCACGTGTGTCAGGCTGCTGGATATCATCCTACAGATCTCTGAGACTATTCCTTTTATTTCTTTTCTTTTTCAGCCGTTTCTTTTTTTGTCTCTATGCCTAATTTTGGTTAAATTTTATTGCTGTGTGTTTAAATGCTCTCATTTTCCCCTTTTGCAGTGTCTAATCTGCCTTGAATCCCATTTCAATGATATTTTCATTTCAGCTACTGTGTTTTTTTAATTTCTAGAAGTTCCATTTGGTCCTTTTAAAACACCTTCCTTTTCTCTCATTATGTCTGTGAGTTCCTTTAATCCTTGAACACAGGTGTAGCAGTTTTAATGTTCCTGTCTGCAGGTTCCATCATCTCTGTCATTTCCTAGTGGGTCCCTATTTTTTGACGTTTTTCTCTCCTGATTATGAGCCACATTTCCCTGCTTCTCATCTGTTTGTGAAATTTTGATTAGATGTTGTGTGTTGTGACTGTTACGTTGTTGAGCATCTGCGTTTTGTTATAGTCCTTTAAAGAATGTCATGCTTTGTTTGGCAAAGCAGTTGAGTTACTTGCAGATCTGTCTACTATCCTTGAGACCTGGCCCCACTACTAGGCTTGCTGTCTCTGGGGTCTCTACTGAATGCCTCCAGTGAGTCACCGAGAGCACCCCAGCTCTGGTGCTCGAGCATCTTCCTACTTTGTGTGGACTTTGGGGGTTGTTCAGTTTACAGTCTCCTGGCCGTTTTTTGCCCTCCTTAGGGCATCTCACTCACACGGCGTGGCCCAGAACTTAAGGCATGCCTAGAGCTCTCTTTCTTTGTGGCTCTCTCTTTTCCAGCACTCGGCCCTGCCTCTCCCAGCTGCCTGGCCCTGCTGGAGTCTGGTCTTCATTTTCTCCACTTAGCAAGGCTGTCAGGCTCCCTGGCCTGGGTGGCCTGGGAATTGTCTCCAGGCAGGACCTTGGAGTGATTGTAGAGCTCACCTTGTTTGTTTCCCTTCTCTGAGGCATCTCAGCTCTGCACTACCTGTTGTCCTGTCTGAAAGTAGTTGTTTTACATATTCTGTCTGGTTTCTCTTAAGAGGTTAGGTCCTTGCTAATGCATCATTGCTGCAAGTGGAAATCCCAGGAATTCCAGTGAAATCGGCCCATTGAAAATAATTCTCAATAACTGAACGCATTTCTACATGGCATGCCTGCCTGTGTTAGAAAGACAAAGCTAATCACAATTTACATGCATTTTTGAGTGAAGCATAGTCGTGGTGGTGTCCCCCACTCACTATTTACCTTCCCCACAGCCCGGGGCTGTCACTGTTCTGAGCGGAGTAATGGCACAGCCCCACAGCGTGGCTGTGTCACGACAGCGGTCCACATGCTCTCGGGGCTCCTGTCAGTGCTCAGTGGGTGACCTCGTCCTGTACTTCAGACCAGGTTTTACTCTTGCAGGGACCTTGTCAGTGTGATCTGCAGTGTAAGAATCACTTGTGAATCCACGTGGGAAGTCTGTGCTAATAGACCACTGAACGCCTGAATCAGCAAGACCTTGCTGTGTGGATTACAGCACAGCTTGCCCAGGCGATGAGGAATGTAAAGGCGTGTTGAGGGAAGCTGTTTGCATAGGGATCTGCATTTGTGAGGATGTGGTTCCTCCCTCCCTGACTGTTGAATAAAAGAAGCCCTGTGATTTGAAGGGGATTGTTGGTGAGGTGTAAGGAACATTAGGGTCCTGAGTAGACAGAAGACTTGGCTGTTGATAGTTCAGCTGAGAAGCAACTAGAGCAAGAAAAACAGGTTATTTGTATCTGTTTTTTGGTCAGCAATTATTTACTTCAGACTTTCTGGTAAAAATCTAATGCCCGTTTTCAGAAATCATGAATATTGCCGGCTACGGACGTCAGTTTTCTTTTCTTTTCTTTTCTTTTTTTTTTTAATGACTCCTAAGTTCTTTGTTTAGCCCACTGAATGACCCACATGTGCTCTGTATGGTGCATCGTGAGAGCTTTAATTTTTGTGCCATCAAAATGCTGTTCATAAGTATGTCCATTTTTATAAGCCCAAAGATGGTTTTCTTTTTTAAAATTTTAAATGCAACTTGAGGAATATTGGTTGGATTTCCTGCTGTTTAGAAAATTTAGAAGTTAATGAACTTATGAAAAACTGCTCAACTTCACTATGAGAGGAATGCAACAGTAAAGAATAGGCTTGCTTTTTTTTTTTTTAATATATTCAGCATTGGCAAGGGTGTGGCAAGATAGGCCCTTCTTTGAATTTCCAGGAAAAGTATGTATTTATATGAGGTTTCTGAAAATAAGTTTGGCTGTACCCATCAAAAACCTTATTATGCTCTTTGACCCAGTAATCCTTCTTGCAGGAATTTTTTTTTTTCTTAAAATTATTAGAAGTTCAAACAAAGATGCAGGTAGAAAGGTATCTGTTGCAATATTATTTCTAATGGTAAGTTATTAGAATCACCCTAAATGTCTAACAATGAAAGTATTTTTCATTTGAGCCATTTTCCAGTTGCAAAGTACCATGAAACCGTGAAAATGGTGTTTATGAAGAATGTTTCATCATGTGGTAAAATGGACATATTTGAAATACATAGTATCCAAAAATGAAATATAGTCTCATGTTAACTATTAAAAAAATGCATGAGAGAATAGTCAGAAATATGTCAAATTGTTAAAGTAACTGCTCCAAGGTGGTAGTTTTATGAGAGTTTATTTTCTTCTTTATGGTTTTCCAGAATTGGGGTGGAGAGCATTCCAGATGTGTGAAAGCAAACAGGATGTTTGTAGCTGCATTCTGGACTCACCTAAGGCTTTTTTCTAGACCTGGATGGGCACCTCAGGTTCCAAAAGAGTTGGCAAACCGTTCATCTCTAAGACTAGTTGCTGTTTTCAGTTCAGGTGAAAAAGTACTTAAAAATGAAAACAAAAAACAAAAAACGATTTCTGTGCTTATTCTTCAGATAAAAATTTTGATGATGAGGATTCTGTGGATGGTAATAGGCCTTCTTCTGCCAGCTCTACGTCATCCAAAGCTCCAGCAAGCTCCCGCAGAAACGTTGGAATGGGGACTGCCCGCAGGCTCGGCTCATCCACTCTTGGATCCAAGTCTTCAGGTAGGACCGAGCCCAGTGTGGTACTGCGGGGTCAGCTCTGCCAACGTTTAAAACCAGACGTGCATGATACTTCCTTAAGACGTGAAGTAATCCTGTTGGCAATACACTTCCACTGGCTCTTCTTGAATTAAATTAGTTCTCTGCTGTGGATGCTGATAAGCTGGTAGGCTGTAAGTCTGAGCTGCTGTGTTGCCACATTTGCTGAGGCAGAGCCTCTGGGCGCGTGAAGCCAACACAGAGCAGAGCGCGTGGTACCCTGATGGCCTCGGGCTCCAGCCATGCCTGACACTACCAGGGGGCCTTTCAGCCAGTTGCTGTGTATCAAGACGAGACTGTCTGGGCTTCCCTGGTGGAGCAGTGGTTAAGAATCCGCCTGCCAATGCAGGGGACACGGGTTCGAGCCCTGGTCCGGGAAGATCCCACATGCCATGGAGCAGCTAAGCCCGTGCGCCACAACTGCTGAGCCTGCACTCTAGAGTCCACGAACCACAACTACTGAAGCCCACGAGCCACGACTACTGAGCCCGCACGCCTAGAGCCCGTGCTCTGCAACAAGAGAAGCCACCGCCATGAGAGGCCCGCACACCGCAACAAAGAGTAGCCCCCGCTCACCGCAACTAAAGAAAGCCAGCGCGCAGCAGCAAAGACCCAACACAGCCAAAAATAAATAAATAAAATTTAAAAAAAAAAAGAAAAGACTGAGACTGTCCAGAAGTCAGATTGTACCTTATGTCTTTAAAATATATTTTGTTCCTGTAGGGATGCCGAATTAGTGAATGGTAAGGATTAGCTCCCTGAGGCTTTGAACATTGATTTATAAGGATTTCTTCCCTAATCCCCCTGCTATCCCATCCCCCATTTTAGGCAGTTTTGAGTCCTTGTTATAGACAGGTTTCATTTGGCTGTCACGTTTTAAATTTACATGCATATTACCTACTTAAAAAAAATGTTACTGAAGTATAGTTGATTTACAGTGTTGTGTAAATTTTTTACCTCCAAAAAAATCACATAGCTGCTGCTCTTAGAACCGCGCTTACTGTCAGCAGTGGGCTCTTGGCTCAGCCGGCTGAGCTAAGGTAAAGCCGAAGTGAGGACCCGCGTTAGGACGCCACCTCCTCCTGCTGGCCTTTCTTGCTCTGTGCAGCAGCCCTGGGCGGCGTGTCCTGACTCAGCGGCTCAGCGCCCTCGCAGCCTCTGCACAGCGTCTCTCTGCACAGCGGGAGCTGTGCTGGCGGCAGAGGGAAGAGCTGGGCTTGTGTCTTACGTTTGTGTTGCTCTTCTTAGTTCTTTCTAATCCTTTACTTTTTGGTTCCTTAAAAAAATTTGTTGTTGTTGTTAAAGTGCTTAAATTCATACAACATGAAATCAACCATTTTAAAGGTAACAATTCAGTGGCATTTATTGTCTTCACAGTGTTGAGCAACCACCACCTCTGCCTGGTTGCAACACAGTTTCATCCCTCAAAAGAAGACCCTATCCCCTTTAAACAGTTCCTCCCCGTTCCTTCCTTCCCCAGCCCATGTTTTGTCTTTAGGCATTTAGCAGTCTAGAAATTTCATAGAAATGGAGGCATCCGATATGCAGTCTCCTGTGTCTGGCTCCTTTCCCTTGGCATAATGTTTTTGAGGTTCATCTCTGTTGGAGCATGTATCAGTACTTTTTAAAAATAATTAATTAATTAATTAATTTTTGGCTGCGTTGGGTCTTCGTTGCTGCGCACGGGCTTTCTCTAGTTGCAGAGAGCGGGGGTTACTCTTCATTGTGGTGCGCGGGCTTTTGATTGCAGTGGCTTCTCTTGATGCGCAGCACGGGCTCTAGGTGTGTGGGCTCAGTAGCTGTGGCTTGTGGGCTCTAGAGCGCAGGGTCGGTAGTTGTGGTGCACGGGCTTCGTTGCTCCACGGCATGTGGGATCTTCCCGGACCAGGGCTCGAGCCTGTGTCTCCTGCATTGGCAGGCGGATTCTTAACCGCTGCGCCACCAGGGAAGCCCTGAACAGTCTTCCTAATGTGTTTTCTTGATCCGTTTTTGAGTAGCATCCATTCCACCGACGAGGCTTAGAAATTTTCTGTGTCATCAGACCACTTCTTTTCCTTCCCTTCCCTCACCGTTCCCCTTGCACAAACCCGACCTGTGTAGATAGTGCAGAGGTACCAACCCTGTCTTCCCCTCAGACCTGATCCTGTCCTTTTCCGTTTCGTCTAACGCCATAGTCGTGTTTCCCTGTTGACTCCCCGTCAGATGCCTCGGGCCCAGGGACTGTGCTTGGCCCACGAGTCCTCTTCGGTTATGTGGTGCCAGGCCTCACACAGAGGAGCGCTCAGCTCAGCACCCATCTGCTTGGTGGGACACAGGCCTAACCTAAAGCAGACACAAAGCACCACTCACAGTGTGTTACTGTTGTCTGTTTGTAGTTTGCTTGTGAATGCAGAGTAATAGTCATCAAGAGTGATGACACGTATTTACCACTGTAACAAGTTGTCTTTAAAGCCCTTTCTGTCTAGGTGGTCCATGAGCACCTCAAATTCCAGATAACTTGTCTGATAAGAAGCTCTAGAAAAGCACTTGGACTAATCAATATAAATCATTAATGTGGGTTACAGGGATGACTGTAGATAACCATTTGGAAACCTTTATTATGAAGAAAAAACATCTGATAAAATGTCTCATGATTTTCATATGTGAAGTGACGCTCATATTAGCAAACAGAAAAAGCCTTCTCCCAAATGATAGCAGTTATCTTACAGCAACTTCGTGGGGTCAACTTGCAACTGACATTACATGAAAAATTAACAGTTATCATGAGTTAAAGGAAATGAAAATGTTTTTTTTCCTTTTTTCTTTCGAAATAGTGTTTGGAGACCAATATGAAGTTGAGATGAAACTGTTAAATTCTTTAGAACGTATTTGAATGTTTCACAAAATTGCTAGATTCCTAACAATGACATAATTTCATTTATTCCCTGAAGAATTAAAATTTCTATTATATGTTTATTTGGAATCTTTGAAAAGACTTATACATTAATACAGTATAAATCATCTAAATCCTTTAACGGCTAGACTGGCCCTCCTTAAGCAAGTAGTGTCTTTAAATGGTTTTAAGCTAACGTATGTTACACTGTAAAATTACTATACTTTATCTTAATATTGAAAGTCTGTAATGCTTGTCAATGCCACAAAACTCTAAACTTAAGAAGACTTAAAAAATAGTTACAAATTTTCCAAAATATAATTTTGATTTTGTATATTCAGACTCCTCCAATGCACATGGTTTACATTTTAAAAATTGATCTTTTTTATAGCTGCAAAAGAGGGAGCTGGTGCTGTTGATGAAGAGGACTTTATTAAAGCATTTGATGATGTGCCTGTAGTCCAGGTGAGTGAGGATGTTTCGTTTGATTAAAAACAAGGATGGGCTTATTATTCAAGTTTCACTTTTCCAGTGTGCGACACGTGGAGTTTCTTAACTAGGTAGGGTAATTCTGACTGTCAAGCCCACAGGAGATCTGAGGTTGCAGACCAGGAAAAGAAGAGCGAAAGTCACGGCCCAAGATGACCTTTCAGTAAGAACTGAGAGAAGTAGCTTGCTCCGGCAGTGAGTGTGTGGGTCAGGTCACGTAGAAGAGGGGGAAATGAGGGATTAGGTTAGAAGAGAGAACAAAGAAGCATGCTTATGTAGGGATTCTCCTCAGAAAGAAAAGTTTTTAAAGTTGAAGGATTTGGGTGTCTGAAAACTACAAAAAAACAGTTTCATAAAATCTTAGTTTATTCCATCTTGATGCTCCCCTTAAGTACCACCTAACAGATGCGGCAGAGTTGATTGACAGAAGCTGGGGTATGGCCACACTTTTCAGACTGCTTTGTGCCTCAGCACTGTCTCTCGTTGATTGGGGCTTGTGCTACATCAGGTGTCCGTGCTCTGGATTCCTACAGTGCTTAATGTCTGTGTGACTCCCTTGTCACCTGCTGCTTGGTCGCCTGTGTGTGTATAAAGCAGGTAACAGGTGTTTTAGGCTCAGGACCATGCTTACGTCCTTGACCTTCCCACCATGCCTCACTCTTGGTTGTTTTGGGGTTTTTTTCCCCCTCACTGTCTTATGAGTAATATGTGAGGATAAATGAGAGAGCAGACCTGAAAGTATTTAAAGCTGCAAGAACAGACGTACTTGCTGTATCGCGCTTCGCTTTGTTGTGCTTCACGGATACTGCAGTTTTACAGACTGAAGGTCTGTGGCCACCCTGCATTGAGCGCGTCTGTTGGTGCCCTTTTTCCAGCGGCATTTGCTCACCTCGTGTCTCTGTGTCACATTTTGGTAATTCTCACAATATTTCAAACCCTCCATCAGCAAAAAGATTACAGTTCACTGAAGACTCAGAGGATGGTTAGCATTTTTTAGCAAGAAAGTATTTTTAAATTAAGGTATGCACACTTTTTTTTTAGACATAATGCTATTGCACAGTTAATAGACTACAGTCTAGGAGACCAAAAGAATTCATGTGACTTGCTTCACTGCGATATTCACTTTATGACAGGGGTCTGGAAGTGACCCGGCAGTGTCTCCGAGGTCTGCCTGTATAATGTGGTGTTACAAAAAATGCTAAGAGTAATCAATGACTTGTGCATCACTGCCGGTTCCCCAGTGGGCTTTTTTCTCTTTTGTACATGAAATTATCTGTTAACTTATAGTAAAGCCGTATTTGAGGCAAGGTTATCCATACATGGGCATCGGATCTAGTCGGTATATATTCACAGCAGGAAAAAAGCTCAATCTAAGACAAACTTGACTAGATGTTATCTTGAAGGCCCTTCTGAAAAATGAAATAATTTCTTTTACTGGGCTTACTAAGTGCCCTTGACTTCAGGTAATTAAGGAATAATCTTTGTTTATTCTGTAAATTTTCTCCTATTGATTGTAAATTAATTTTGCTTACAGATTTACTCCAGCCGAGACCTTGAGGAGTCCATAAACAAGATTAGGGAAATATTATCTGATGACAAGCATGATTGGGAGCAAAGAGTAAACGCTGTAAGCCACTGACTGTGTGATTACATTTGCATTCGATATTTACATGGTCTGAATACTTTGTTACGAAATTGGGGTGCAGCTGTGATGAATTTTAAGTAGTAAATATTTTAAATATAAGCTTCCATATTTACATGTCGCCTTTTTAGTAGATTACTTCACTTCTGTTCTTCAAACATGCCAGCTTCTATCTTTTTGTGTATCCTGTACTTTTAGCAGAGACCTACCTGTGGTACAACTGCTGCCCCTACGACCTCGGTAAAGATGTAGTTCTGGGACCGTTGGCCAGGAAAGCGGCTTTTTAGTGACGTTTTCAGTGTGTGTCTCTCTATCCCTTGCTTTCTTCACAGCACTTCTGCCCCCTCTGTTTTTAAAAGTGGATTAATGGGGCTTCCCTGGTGGCGCAGTGGTTGAGAGTCCGCCTGCTGATGCAGGGGACAGGGGTTCGTGCCCCGGTCCGGGAGGATCCCACATGCTGCGGAGCGGCTGGGCCCGTGAGCCATGGCCGCTGGACCTGTGCGTCCGGAGCCTGTGCTCCGCAACGGGAGAGGCCACAACAGTGAGAGGCCTGCGTACCGCAAAAAAAAAAAAAAAAAAAAAAAAAACTGGATTAATGAGAAGAAATGGGCCGAACATTAAAGTGCAGGGGCATTACGTGAAGACGTGTCTTCTGAAGAGAGCGATCGTGCGTTGGTTGTCTGGCAGGAAGAGGGCTAGGAACACTGCTGTGTGTCTGTTTTGGATGCACACTGGCCCTTTAGTAAAGACACAGTGGCGCGTACTGTGCAAAGGCTGTAGCGTTGCTTCTTCCTGTGATTCACTGAGTGAATGGCGGTTGGAGTGGGGTGCGGGGGAAGGTGAGCTCAGGGAAGGAGGTTTTACAGGCTACAGTGAGGGTTTAGTTACTCTATCCTTAGCATCACAGCATCTGTAAGTCACTAAACTGTTTGCCATTAAAAAGTACGCTTTACAGAAGAATTGTAATCCATTTATCACAGACACTAATTTTAAAAATTATTAGTTCTTATTTATGATACCTAGATATATCAGCAACTATTTAGTTGGCTGAATTCTTTTTGGAAAACTCTCTATCATTTAACTTTGATATTGATCTCTAATATTTGATGGCTTCTGTTGTTTTGTATATTCTGTTCTAAGAATTGTTTTGTCTGTCTCTTCGTTTTCTCCATCCCCTTAGCTAAAAAAGATTAGATCTTTACTTTTGGCTGGTGCTGCTGAGTATGATAACTTCTTCCAACATTTGCGTCTTTTGGACGGAGCCTTTAAACTATCGGCTAAGGATCTGCGGTCTCAGGTAGTGCGGGAGGCTTGTATCACCTTGGGGTAAGGATTGCAATGCTCCCGATTCTCACATCATAAAATAACCTCATGATGGTGCTTCAGAGATGGTTCATTGAATACGCCCACTGGGTCTCTTTCACGGAACTTTCAACTGGTCTCCAAGACCTATTCCAGTTACGCTTCTGTTAACACGTTTACAATAGTTCCTGACCAGTTATGTTAAGTCTGACAGATTTTAAATTTTATTCAGTGACTTAGCTCTGAAGCCTCTATTTTAAACTTGAAGCAGTTATTAATAATATGGAGAAATGAAATTTTGTAAACTTTTTTCCTCAGCTGTTTCACTGATTTTGCTGGCAGGTGATAGCATGATTATTAGAATGTTTGTTTCTAGAAGAGTACTGTAGCTATAAGGTTAAAGGCATGTACTACGGGGAAATTTTTTTTTTTATCCTCACTAAACCTGTATCAGTATCTAAAACTTCTGTCTTAGAAAATATGTTAGAATATCAGAGCAACAGCAATAGTAAGGTGGCTTTGCAGCTGTTTAAAGTTTTGACCTCAGACACTGAAGTGTGAATGTTGTATGTTAAAAATAAACAGCAAAAGAAGAAAAGGGGGTGAAAGAGCCTTTTCATATTTGTGTTTTATTAGTGTATGACTAACTTGTTTTTTGCTATTTTAAGAGTAATTAGTTGGAAGTGATTTATTTATTTAAAAAAAAGAGAGTAAACTCTTGGGCTAGTGGCTATTTTCGAGGTCCTCTATATGCTTATTGGAAGTATTTGTAGAGTATTTTACTTAGACCTTTGTCCTTTATCCTTAGATAACTTTACATGAAGGCTCTAAAATGTTAAGAGCGTTATGTGCTACACTGTTGGCAAGAACTGTGGCTTCAGTTCAGTGTTCATTTCTGGTTATAGGCATCTGTCATCAGTGCTGGGGAACAAGTTTGACCATGGAGCTGAAGCCATTATGCCAACGATCTTTAATTTAATTCCGAACAGTGCCAAAATTATGGCCACCTCTGGTGTTGTAGCTGTTAGGTTAATCATTCGGGTGAGTATGTTTTGGGGCCGTACATAGAGTAAGCAAGTGGTAAATATTGCTGGTTGATAAGCAGTTATCAGAGACATTTTTCATTTGAGTGATTATGTATGTGGAATAATACCGTACGTACAACATTGGCCTTTTTACCCCACGTAACTATCACACACGAGCCTTTTATGTTCCCTAGTGTGAACTGTGGGTGTAATGTATAGTTACTGAGGTGTTGCTCATCCACCGTCATTGGTTTTAAACATTTGAACACAGGTGTCTGCTTCTGAGTTTATACTCTGTTCTTTATGTGTCCAGGTATCACTTCTGTTCTTCCCTCCTTAATCCCCAGCCATTCCATTTTAGGTGTTTGTGCTTGTGGTTTTGTTATTCGCCTGACATTTTATTTAAATAATTGTACATAAGCCCAGAAACAAAATGTTATCTTCAGTTAAGTTTTCAAAACACTCATTTACTTAAATCCAAGTAATTAGCCAAGTAATTTACGTGCAGATTTTCAGTAAAACCTGATAGTTCACGAAGGCTTAATAAGTTCTGCGCATCACCGTCTCCCCACTGTCAAGTCCCTTTTCCCCAGAGGCAACCCTTGAAACTGGGTCTTGATGTTAACTGAAATCTATCCAGAATATTCGTGATTACTGTGGGTTGCTTACTTCATATTATTTGTAGTTCTTACTGTTTGCACTGCCTACTTCAGGTATTAAACCAAAAGCCGTTATCAGACATTTCTGTTGAAATAGTATTAAACTATATTGGCCTGCTGACTGCTTTTTACTCATTCAGATCTCTATGCTCAGGTAATTTAGACTTCATACCAGTGATTTGTTTTGATTTTAGACTTACTTACTTGTCATCTGTTGCCTGTTTTGGCTCTGTAAATTCTGTCATGCCCTTTGGCAATATCCAATGAAAGTCTTTCTCCTTTTTAAACTCAGTGAAATTCTAATCTGAATATGCAGGTGCTTTAGGTAGGTTAGTAAAGAAGTGGTTGTCTTGGCTTTGCATTTTCAACTGTTCGCCTCTGTTTTTTGTTCTTTTCTGCAGCACACACACATCCCTAGGCTAATACCCATCATAACAAGCAACTGTACTTCCAAGTCGGTCGCCGTTAGAAGGTAAGTTTTTAAAGAATTTTTCTCATTAGTTTTGAATTGTTTACAAGCCGAAACAAATTTCACATTTACCTCCATGCAAAAAACTTTATGTTTGAAACGGTTAATATGATTTATGATTGCTGTGGACTGAAGGCTCATGATCTCAGTTGTCTGGAAAGCTAATTTGGAAGGCCTGTTACTTCTGTCTGTGTGTGTAGTGTGAGAGCGAGTGTGTGTGTGGGTTATGTGGGAGGGGCGGGGCGGAGGGGGAGTGTACCCCCTGCGAATTTTCTTCCTGCAGTGGTCCCTCTGCCTCTATCATTGGTCTGCCCCATTCCCTGAGTGAAGGCCATGGCTGCCCGCCTGGAAGAAGCATTGTGAAGATCAGCGGCCGTTATTTATATTAACATAGATAGCAGGAGGTGTGTGTTGTTTGCAGCTTCTGATGTGATTCCTGGCACTCTGAATCCTGACCCGTCATGCTTGTGCTGCTGTCACAGTGACTGCACGCTACTCAAATTTATCACAACAGGCTAGAACTGTTAAATGCTAGGGACCGAAGTGTTACCCCCTGAGCTTCTTATGTTGAAGGGAGGTAGACCCTGAAGGTACAGCCTGGGTGGCCCGCGGGTGCTTTTTCTTGGGTCCTGCTGAGCTCCCGCAGCCCACGTGTGGGATCAGGGCTCTGTGCTTCCAGCTCGGATCTGTGGGTCTGGACTGGTGACTCAGAGGCTTTCGAGTCCTAAAATCTATGGACCCTCTTCCCAGGAAAGTGTAGATGCACAGAAGTTTTGTGTAGGTTTTCAGAGGATTCATGGACTTAAGCCTTCAGTAGACTAGGTCAGGAGCTTTGTGGGGTAAGTGAACGGCCGGCCTGGACAGCAGGCAGCCTCTCGGCCCCGTTCCTGCGGTTCTGTGTCTTGATCCAGCCCAGGAGAGGGCCCTTCACTCCAAGGCGTCGAGCCCAGCCGCCCCTGGCCACCCGCTGTTCCTCTCCTTTCCTGGGCTGTCACGTTGGACCCACCAGGGTTTCACAGGCGGGGGGATCCTTCCAAGCATGAGGCGGCCCCCATCGCCGTTGTGTTCCCAGCCACATGGAAGGCAAGGGAGAAAAGAGGGGAATGAGCCAGCTACGTAAAGCCAGAGAGGAAGACACGTTCTCCTTCCACTGAAAAGGCCGACTGTTCCAGCAGCGTGGCTCGGTGGAGTGTCGCTGACCCACAGTCCAGCCGCCCTCGGAGGCAGAGCAGCTCCGGGCACCCCCAAATCCCCCAAGGCCAGCACCTGGCCGTCGAGGTGCGGGCTGGTGGTGGACTTCCCACGTGCCGGGGAGGGAGTTGTTCTGCGGGTTCTCAGTCACTTCCGTAGAAGGGGCTTGACGCTCGGTGGAAGCTCAGTGAACGGCAGCCATCCTGAGAATTTGCTGCTGCAGTTATATTGCCACTGTTTATTTGGGTTTCCATGAGCAGTTTGGAAAGCGTGTTTGCTTTGGGCAAGGCAGTTCCTCTGGTGAAGCGACACATCTCTGTGGGGAACGTTACAGGATATTTAGCGTATCAGTCGACTTGGGCTGCTGTAACAGAAATACCGTGCGCAGGGTGGCTTAAACGACAGGCGGGTATTTTCTCACCGTTCTGGAGCCGGGAATTCTGAGATCAGGGTCCGGCAGGGTTGGGTTCTAATGGAAGCAGCTTGCAGGTGCAGCTTTCTTGCTGTGTCTTCGCGGTGGTGGGGGCGGGGGAGTGCCCTCCTTAGAGGGCCGCTAATCCCGTCAGGCGAGCATCACTCTCAGGACCCCCCGTTAACCCCACTGCTTCCCCAGGGCCCCGTCTCCAAATACCGTCATACTGGGGGTTAGGGCGTCAACATAAGAAGCTCAGGCGGTAACACTTCGGCCCCTAGCGTTTGACAGTTCTAGCCTGTGGTGCTGAATTTGAGTAGCAACGTGCAGTCACTGTGACAGCAGACATGCCAACCCCTTCACCGGTTTCCGAGCCGCACACCCAGACTGGCGTTCCTGTGTTTAGTCAGAGCCACGTGTCTTAATGCTGAAAGGAGTACTAGGGACCATCTGGGCCCCGTCCCTCTGCCTTCAGGAAGGAAAAGAGAGCCAGAGGGGGCAGTGTAACCAAGGCAGTGCGCTTTCTGTCCTGTATTCAACCTGTCGCTAGCTTCACTTCATAGAATTTGTAAGAAATGGATTGCCCAATCTCCCTGCCTTTAAGAAGTTTATAATTTAGTTGGGGAGATTAAAAACAATAATGCAAAGCAATGTAAGAGTGAGTTGCAACGTACGTATTGTAGATTTAGGAATTCAGAGGGCAGTGATTAAAACTAGCTGATATATTCCCTAGAAGCCTCATAGACAAGTTAAAAGAGACTGAGCTGCCCTATGAATGAGGAGTACGAGTCGGTGAAGAAAAGACAGAAGTTCTAACCAGATGTGCTTAAGTAATGCAGTGTTTAAATAATGCCAACATCAGTGTACTTCTGTATATGATTTTAGCCTTCTAAAAAGTTGAAAACAAAACCTAATTTACATGGGATATTTTCGATGAAATAGATTGTTCTGAAACACACTGAAGACAAGAATTAGCACTAAAGATGGCTGGATTCACTAAGAAATAAGTAAACATAGACATATGCATACACGCATAAAGAGACAAGGAAAGTCCACACCAGGAAATGACATGGACAAAGGGCAGAGGTAGAGTGACCGTGGCCTGGGCTGGGGCGGGGCGGGGGGGGCAGCAGTGGTGAGAAAGGGTGTGGGCAGAGGTCAGTGTCTCTCCTTGGAGAAGATTTGTTTCGCCGACCGCTCCCCCGGCCCCCACTATTAGCAGCAGCCCTGGGACTGAGCTGCGCAACTCCCCTGAGCCCTCTGAAGCCCCTGTGCTCCCGGCACATCACGTGGTAACTGTTCCTTGTCTGTCTTGCTCACTGGATTGTGTCTCGGTTACCATTGTATGTCTAGCATCTAGCATAGGGGAAGGGTTTATTCAAGACTTACTGAGTGATTGTGTGGATTATGAGGTTTTGAATTGGGAAGATCATGGGAAAGAAAGTCTGATTGTTAGAGAAAGATTGCCTTCTGATTTATTTCCTTGAGTGGGTTCCTTAAGTCTAATAATATTTATTCCTACAAAGATAGTTATCCTGGAATTTAGAAAAAGGAAATGATGAGGAGGTAGGACCCGAAGTGGTGATATAATCCAAAGGGGATAAGACCAGCATTGTTTTTGTGTACAGATCAGACCAAGAAAGATCACAGAAGTGAAAAGAAAGGATGTTGAAAGGTTGCAGAGAGGAAAATGGCCAAGTAGAGAAAAATCTGTTTTAAATACTTGGCAGGAAAACTGGGTAAACACTTTGTTTTCCAGGGTATGTTTTACTTTTTTTGTACAAGGCATTCTTTGGAATTAATGCAAAGACTAATTCCCTGATTCTGTAATGTACTCAGATCTTTTGTGCACCTGTAGCTCCTGTATTAATGAATCATTTGAGGTAGAATAAAAACCAACAACAGTGATACACCCTTTCAATAAGGTTGCCATGAAGCCCAAGTTTCTGATTTGAAGGGAACTCCCCTGTATCCTGTCCCTATAACTTTGTGATTTTTCTTCTGGACTACCATAGGTGCTTAATTATTTTGATCTGCTTTGGTTTTCAGTCAATTCTGATTCCATCTTTATGTTCCATTTTTTTGAATCATAAAAAAAATAGAAGATGGGACTTCCCTGGGTGGTCCAGTGGTTAAGACTCTGCACTTCCAGTGCAGGGGATACAGGTTTGATCCCTGGTCCGGGAGCTAAGATCCCACATGCCTCGTGGCCAAAAAACCAAAAAAAACCCCATAAAACAGAAGCAACACTGTAACAAATTCAATAAAGGCTTTAAAAATGGTCCATATCCAAAAAAAAAAAAAAAATCTTAAAAAAGACAATAGAAGAGGGCTTCCCTGGGGGCGTAGTGGTTGAGAGTCCGCCTGCCGATGCAGGGGACACGGGTTTGTGCCCCGGTCTGGGAAGATCCCACGTGCCGCGGAGCGGCTGGGCCCGTGAGCCATGGCCGCTGAGCCTGCGCGTCCGGAGCCTGTGCTCCGCAACGGGAGAGGCCACAACAGTGAGAGGCCCGCGTACCGCGAAACAAAAGAAAAAAATAGAAGAAATTTATCAATTATAAAAAGTAGTGTTGGTTCACTTAAGAAAAAAGCTTTTATTTTCATTAACATACAAATGACTAAGTTACATATTTTTCTCTTCACAATTTTCAGGCGCTGTTTTGAATTTTTAGATTTACTTTTACAAGAATGGCAGACACATTCACTGGAACGGTGAGCATCTGATTTGCTGGTTTTCCCTCTGAATTGAATCTTGAGATTTAATATCTCAGCGAGTGGTCCAACCCACTTTTTATAAGAAGTGAAGGAATCCGAGTGTTTATTTGCGTGATTACTGGTGTTATTTCTCCTGATGCTGATGTGGGGCACCTACCACTGGCAGAGGCTCTTAGTGAGCTCCTCTGACTGTCACGTTAGCCTTGAGGTGTGACCTGGGGTGCCCTGGGACACTGCATGGCCAGGACTCACTCAGCAGTGGCTGTGATCTGCTGCCTGGCATCCTGTCAGTTCCAACGAGTTAAAAAAGGTTTAAAGCTGCTCTTAGTAGGCGAGGGGTAACTTTGAAAATCCTTAAAGGAATTTCACTCATTTGAAAGTTTTCTTTTTGATCCCTCTGTATCAGAAAGTCAGCAGTTTTCTCTTTATTCAGGCTGGTGTGTGGTAAGTTTCACATCCTCGTGATGCAGAATTCTTACAGAAGCTTGTCTCTATTTTGAGGTTCATCCTTTGCCATTTTTAGTTTCTGTCAATTTTAGGTACCTGTTATTCTTTCTGAGTTAAATTTGGAGCTGATAGATGATGATACTGTGCCACCCGGTTTTTCATGGTGTGTTGTGTAGTTTGTGAAGAACTTTACAACATACTAAACAGGTTACGAGTAGTGGGAGTTTAACACATGAGTACGCCTGGAGTCCAGTTCAGTCCTGCAGTACTCAGAGACGAAAAAGCCAGGCCTCCCAGAGGTGAAAGTTCATCTGAAAATACTTTGGATCGAGAAGATGGTCACACATTTAAAAAATACTTTCTTGTTCTTTAATCTCTTGGGTATTATATCCTCTTTATTTGGTGACAATTTTGGAATTTAGAGTGGGAAGGTGGAATGAGGGATTGAACACCGGGGCCAGGTGAGCAGGGCAGGAAAACATGATTGACTCAGATGTGGCCTCATGTGTTTATTCACTTCCGCTCAGCCTTGCCGCTTGGCAGGTTCTCACCAAATGCCTGCTGGATGAGTGAAGGACTGAGGACTGAGGTGGGGTGCTGGTAAGACTGGTGCCTCGCCTTCGTCCTGTGAAACTCTTCACTCCAGTCATTGCCCTTTTCTTAAAACCGTTCAATATTCAACGAGACAGTTTAACGATTTCTTCTCAGCTAGGGTAGAACGTAACTAAGAGAACTACCTGTGTATAAAACAGAGACATAATTTCATAAAATTGTTCATGTCATGTAGTGGAACTTGAAAAAACATTCTTTAATTACAGAAACCTGATGCAGAGAGTCTCTGCAGTATTAGGATTATTACTAGCCCATTATAAATTCCATGGAAACTTGTTCTGACCATGGAGAAGGAAGGGTTTTGTTGTTTGGGTTCATAAAAGATTGAACTAAGTAAGCATGGCCCGAAATACATCAGCCGTTACTTTAAAAAAAAAAAAAAAAAGTCCCAGGAGAGTAGGGTTATCAGGTGCTTAGGTGGGGAAGGGGTGGGAATAGGTACTGGGACAGAATCATAAATGAGTTAGCAGATCTGCGGAGTGTGCTGATTTTCTAGGCTGCGTGTTTGTTGACTCTCTGGGCACAAAGGGCCTATACCTTCCACGTTGCCGTTCGGGAGTTATTTCTCAACACCTGTTTGTATCCGCATAAGACCATATATTAATGATTGTTCCCGCTTTGTTTTCTAAATATCCAGACACATATCAGTATTAGCGGAAACAATAAAGAAGGGAATACATGATGCTGATTCGGAAGCACGGATAGAAGCCAGAAAGTAAGTGTTGGCTGAACACCACTTTCCCGATTCACTACTTTTATATTTCAGGTGCCCTGTCCAGATCGCCTTATGAAAGCTTATTAAGTCACATGGACATGTTTTGTTAATCATGACCTTTAAATATGACCCAAAAGGCCATTTCAAAATATCTCTCTAGTTTTCTGTTTCGAGGGTTGTTGAGTTGAGTGACCAGGCCTGAAAGACTGGTACTATTTGAACATAAAGTGGACTGAGGTAGACACAGAAAGCCCATTTTTAAATTTATGAGAAATGGCTGCGTGAGCCGGCAAAGCACTTGTCTGTGTGCCCCGTGTTTTCTCTCACTCACTAAGCTCTGTGGGTCCCAGTGGCTTGTTGACTTGCCATGAAGAATCCCGCTCACGGAGACCCTTTCCCTGGGATCACAGCTCTGCAGGCATCGGGTGTGTGGAGGGGGTGGCGTGCCAGGAAAGTGAGTCCCTCCAGGAGGGAGGGGGACTGATCGCAGACCACAGCTCGCTGTTCACGCTCGCGTTTGGGGCCGTCTGGCCGTCAGGACTGGTTATGCTGCGGTTGTGAAGCTGGGTCTCCACGTGCAGCGCCATCCTGCGGGTGAAGCTGCCATCGTGACCGTAAGTAGCTGAAGCTTGACGCCAAGATGTCCTCCCTCTCGGGCAGCTCAGAGAGAAAAAAAGCTTCCCGTTTTGCCCTGCGGCTGTTTTTCTGCGCTTTCGTAGTCGACCGGCTCTCCTAATTGACACGGGTTAAAGCCAGTCCTTACATCCTGGAACACTGCAGACTTGCTCGGCTGCACGAGCACACCCTGACCTCCCGCTTCCTGCTCCGACTGCTCTGTCAGTTAAGCCGTAGTTCCCTGGTTTCAGAGTGTGTGGAGGACTCCCTCTTGACCCTCAAGTGCTCACCGCAATCTCGTGATGGGAAGTTCCTACCAAAAGAAGGGACATGATAAGCAGTGGCTAAAAAGCAAAAACTAGGAGGAGTGGATTTGTGAACGGTCTGCGTACGCTGTTCTTCACCCTCATCTTGTATTTGGTTTTCTTGTCCTTTGATCGTAACACAGTACAGGTTTCAAGTAGCTGTGAGCCTCGTCCTGGTTTTCTTTTGTTCTCGTTACCTAAAGCCGTCTTAAGGACTTGGAACCAGGGAGCGACACATTGCATTTATAAAAGCGTCAATGACCGAGTCCCCCTCGCGTTCTGGGTGTCGTTCTCGTTGGTTTGGCTCCATCTTCCCTGAGGCTCCCAGTCTTGCGAGTCAGGCTCTTTAATTTCCATTTTATCCATTTCATTAACGTGACTGAGAGTCAGACAGCTGGGCCGGAGTCACCAAGGACGGGAGCTGGGAGTGAGGATCCACCAGACCTCCGCGGTTTCCACGCTTCCTCAGGCCGCGGCTGCCGCCGGTCACAGGAGCTGGCGGCGGGGGGCCGGGGGGGTCCCTCCCTGATAGCGTCCCGGGTGCATACCCGTTGACAGGAGGCTACGTGTTTTCCAGGTGTTACTGGGGTTTCCACAGTCACTTCAGCAGGGAAGCAGAGCACCTGTACCACACTCTGGAGCCCTCCTACCAGAGGGCTCTGCAAAGCCACCTGAAGAGCTCGGACAGCGTGGTGTCACTGCCCCAGTCAGACCGCTCGTCCTCCAGCTCGCAGGAGAGTCTCAAGTAAGGGCCCGGCTGTGAAAAATGGGCTGCACGAGCACGCAGACTTCCCCTGTGCTTTTGTCTGTCTGCGTGCTGTTACCATTCCCCCTTAACTCAAGTGGAGGCTGGTGCTGGGGAAGATGCTGTGGGGATGGTGAGAAACGAGTGGCCTGGTCCCTGGTTCCTGGTCCCTGAGGCAGGTAGTTTGTACTTAAATTTACGTGGCATTCCT